TATAACAGAGAGGATTTGGAAGCCCCTGAAGGCGTCTTCTTTGGCTCCATCCCTCAATTATCCTTCTGACAGCCAGATTTGGACCAAATTGGATTTAGTGCATTTCACAATTTTGTTGAACAAATTTGTGGATTAAGGAAACAAATTAAATCCACATTTTTATTTGACATCATCAAAAATATGACATGCAGACTGGAAATGAACCTTCCTGGTCTTGTAATAATTTCAGTGGAGACTGAGTCCTTCCTTCTTAAGGGCTTTAAAAAAAAAAATTATTCTTACAAAGACCTCTAGGAAGCTGCCTCCAAAGCTTACCTGAGACCTGGGATCTGACCTTTGGGTTTAGTTCAGGCTGCAGTACCCATCCCATTCTAGAGAGAAGGGTCTCTCTCTCTCCCCACCCATCGTTTATCATTTCTGCCATTCCTCCCATGATTTCCTCTTGGCCATAGCCTAATTTAAGTTTCAGCATTATTCTGTAACTGGACTAACAGATTTTCATGTTAGTGCCAATTCAAGTACTCCATCCTTTCTCTGAACTCTTAGGTCAATAAATATATAACTCATTTGATAATTAGTTAGGTGCCTTTGACACCTCACCCAATACCTTTGAAAACAAGGTAGATATTTCATTTTCTCCATCTTTGTTTCTTGACTTCATGGTAGACAGACTAGGTGTATGTGGGCAAGAAATGAGATTTCTACTTCTCTATGTATGTACCTGACATGTAGTAGCATGCAGTGAATAGTTACTGTCTTATACATTTAATTGGCATATGATTCCTTAACAATAAAATGGTAACTTTTTAAGAGAGAGAAGACATTATCTTGGCTGGGCTTAGTGGCAAGGAGGCTGTGAAGACCATTGGGTTAGTGTGGGGGCTTTAATGCCAGACAGCGTGGGCTTGAATCCTGGCTCCCCATTTATTGGTGATACTATTTTGACAGTGATGTAATCTCTCTCTGCCTCAATTTCCCCTCCTATAAACTAGAAATAACAATAGCATTTGATCAAGCCCCTAAAACAGGAATAGAGGAAGCATTTTCTAAATGTCAACTATCACAATTTTATTATTGCTTCCTAATCATCACAACATGCTTATGAAATACTTGTGGCTAACACACAGGTGGACTTTACCTTATCGAATTTTTGTCCAGATGATCAAATTCTCATTTTTGAAACATGAACTATCTGAGTGATTGTGGTTTTCCTTTCCCATTATATAATATACATAAAGTGAAAGAACAGAAAAGAAGATGACCAAAACCAGTAAGATAAACCAATTAAAAAAGTAGAATGAATCAGTGTTAGCCAAAGAGAAGAGCCTGCGGGAACGTTAGGAAGGCTGCCAAATCTATTGAGTAAAAGAGAGATGGAGGGGAGAACCATCAATTAAAATTAATTAAAAGCTTTTAATTCTTACGATGCTGACCTCATTTTCCAGGTGTCTGAGACAAAGGGAAGAAATGTGGGTACTTAAGTGGCATGACATTTTTCCAACTGGCTACTTTCCCTTTAACCAGACCGAGCCTGTCTCTTCCCTCGTGCCCTGACTCATGGCTCAGGTCCCTCTGCTGAAAAGAGAGGCAGTCCTGAGGCCTGGCAAGCGGCTAACTAGACCTTCTCCCACACTCTCATCCATCAGCACGTCCTGCTGATCACACTTTCAGAATGCATCCTGATTCTGGGCACTTCTCCCCCACGCCAAATCTTCATTTCCACCTGGAACTACAGTGATTTGCTATGTGGTCTTGTTTCCACTCATATTTATTATTCTCTGAAATTGCCTTGTACTGACTTTTCTGATTTGTTTTTTCATTTGTTTTCACCATTAGCTTTAAACATCTCATTCACCAGTGGCTGGTGGATGCATGGTCCAATCAATATTTCTTTCTTTTTAAAGAAATTTTTATTGGAATATAGTTGATTTACAATGTTGTGTTAGTTTCAGGGGTACAGCAAAATGAATCAGTTATATATATATATATATATATATATATATATATATATATATCCTTTTTTTAGATTCTTTTCCCATATAGGTTATTACACAATACTGAGTAGCGTTCCCATGCTGGACCACGGGTCCTCGTTAGTTATCTATTTCACATACAGTCGTGTGTATACGTTGGCGTCCCCGGTGGCTCAGTTGGTAAAGAGTCCGCCTGCAGTGCAGGAGACCTGGGTCAGATCCCTGGGTCAGTAGAATCCCATGGAGAGAGGAGCCTGCCAGGATACAGTCCATAGGGCTGCAAGGGTTGGGTATGACTTATCGACTAAGGCCATCACCAGGATCTAGGCTCTATTTCCTTTTTTTCCCCCACATATCCCCCAAATCACATACACAAACATCTAACCTATCTTTTATATATAAATACATATAATATATAAATATCATATAAATATATACATCTCTCTCTATACACATATATATTACAGATGCAATATTTAATAGAATTACAACTTGGTTAGGGTCTAGAATCTAAAATATGCCTTAGGCTGAAATTAGTTGTTGTTTAATTGCTAAGTCCTGTGTGACTCTTTGCGACCCTATGGACTGTAGCTCACCAGGCTTCTCTGTCCATGGGTATTCTCCAGGCAAGAATACTGGAGTGGGTTGACATTTCCTCCTCCAGGGGATCTTCCTGATGCAGGGATTGAATCCACATCTCTCGTGTCTCCTGCATTGGCACCACTGAGCTACCTGGGGAGCCTCCAGGCTAAATCTCTATGTAGTAAAATTTCTACCTGAGAACCCTTTAAAGTACATGGAGAACGTACATAATTTTGATCTGTAACTACAACTTGCATGGTAATAGTAAACATAAATGAAAGGAAATATCAATCAGCTCTTTCACGTACAACTCTGGATGAAATAGCTGCAAATGAGAAAACACAAATTCTGGTTCTCATCCCCGGCCACCCTGTGACCATAATTTGCAAAGACTTTTCCCAACCCAGATGACAGTTGATTCATTCCCTCCGGCATATGGATTGCTATGTCTTTCCTTGTAAGTCAGATATCCTCTGAGATTATTTTAATTGGAACCCTCATGACTTCCCAACAATTTGAGGTGGTCCCAATAATTGGCAGATATATAACAATTCCATTAAAATAAAAAGACATAAGAAGAGGGAAATAAATAACCTAAGAAAAGTAAGGCAGTTATAATTCCATTAAAAGACACTAACCTCTGAGCTTCCTGGAAGTCAAGAGAAAAAGGGAAAATCTTAGACAAACATTCTCATTGCTTAATCAAAATAATCAAAAGGCAGAGGTTCTCTCATGGCACTACTTTAAAAAAATAGGAAATTCCCTGGCAGTCCAGCAGGTAGGACTCTGCGCCTCCAATGCAGGGGGCCTGGGTTCGATCCCTGGTTAGGGAGCTAGGATCCTGCAAGCTGTGCTGTGGGGCACAGACAAAAAAAAAATTTTAAGTCACTCATAATTTTATCATGGCAATATTGTTGTTGTTCAGTTGCTGTCATGTCTAACTCCTTTGCAACCCCATGGACTGTAGCCTGCCAGTCCATTCTGTCCATGGGATTTTCCAGGCAAGAATACTGGAGTGGGTTGCAATTTCCTTTACTAGGGGATCTTCCCAACCCAGGGATCAAACCTGTGTCTCCTGCATTGGCAGGTGGATTCTTTACCACTGAGCCACCTGGGAAGCCCAGTGATATTATTATTTTTGCATATACACCCTGTATTCCAGACCTTGTCTGCAAGCAAAATAGTAGATAATTTTATTTAAAAAATATTTGAATGGGCAAAACATTCACATAGTTTGAAAACTGGAAAGTGAGAGTAAGCAATGGAAAGTGCTGTCCCTTTCTTGTCATGCATTTGCCTCAATTCAACTCCCTCCAGCCTCCCCCTCTGTGGTATCCATCTAGAATTTTTGTCCATATTCAATCACAACTGCATCATCATCAGCAATAAAATATAGATCCTTATTTCTTTAACTTAATGACATATCTTGCATGCATTTCCACATCAGTAGGAAAGCCTCCCCATTCTCTTTCATAGCTATAGCGGATCTCATTGTTTGGATGTACTGTTACTTGCCAGTGCCCTGCTGATGTCATTTTCATTTGGGCTGTTCCTTTTTTTCTGTTTGTTTGGTTTTAGAAATGAAGTGTGCAGTTTCACAATGTGCACATATATATATGTGATACATCCCTGAAGTGATGGCTGGGTCAAGGGATAAATGCATCTGTGAATTTGATAGCTCTCACCAATTTGCCCTCCAGAAGGGCTCCGAAAACTTATGCTTCTACCGGTAGTGTCAGAAGGTTGAGTTGCCATATGCTATCTCTATACTCCAGATCAGCATCCTCCTGCTAACTTCTAAGGAGGAAGGAAAAGCAGTGTGAAAAAGGAAGAACTGTTTGTCAGGCACCTATTGTGTGGCAAACATGCAGTACAGACACGTTTCATCCTCACTGGGACCCTGTGAAGCAGTTTGTTTCCTGGATTCTTCCTAATGAGGCAATTCTGTCTCAGAGAGGTGGAGGAATGTTGTGCGGTGACTCAGGGAAGTGGAGGAGGGTCCTGCCCGTGTGGCTGGCCCTGAGGCTGCTGCCAGAGTCCTGCCCCTCGGGGGGGGGTGTCTCACCTGGTCCTAGCTTGCGTGCCTCAGCCCTGCTGCTCAGCCCTGTCCGACTCGGTGCGACCCCAGGGCCTGTAGCCCGCCAGGCTCCTCCGTCCATGGAATTTTCCAGGCAAGAATACTGGAGTGGGTTGCCATTTCCTCCTCCAGAGCATCTTCCCGCCCCAGGGATCGAACCCACATCCCTTCTGTCTCCTGCATTGGCAGGTGGGGTCTTCACCACTAGCGCCACCTCATGGACCAGCAGTGGTGCCAACAGTTTTTCGTGTCTCAACTGTTTTATTTTCTTGGCTGCCTTGAACTTCAAGTGCCACTCCTTAGAGGAACTTCTGGAATATTCACTCCTTTCTGCATTTGGCCTCCTGCCTAGGTCCCAGCCCTTGCCCTCACACGTGATTTGTGACGGTGGAGCAGAGGTCCTCCGGGTGCCCCTCTCCCAGGAGGGCATCCAGCCATTCCTCCAGGTCCCGTACCAGCCGCTCCAGCTCTTGCACCTCTTTCTCCAGCTTCTCCAAGAAAACATGCAAGTTCTCTTTCAACCAGGTCCTCATGACCTTGATCGGCTCTTCTGGGGAGTCGCTGGTCTGGTATTCAAACACCTAAAAGGCAGACACCAGGGTTGTATCTTGAGCGTTCTCCTCTAGACCTCTCTTGCTGTGCTGGATCCTACGAGCTCCCCGAGCCTTTGTTGTGCTTTCCTTCTGCCCCAAGTACGCATCCCCACCTTCTCTACCAGACCCACTCCTACCTACCCTTCAAGACCCAGTTCATCAATGACACCTACAGGAAGCCTTCTCAGACGTCCTCAGCCAAGCTTAAGGTCCCTTCTTGAATATGTTACCTGGGAAGTCACAGGATTCTGGGGGTAGTTACATTCTCTGATCCTTTCTGACACCTCCCAACTTCTTCCTGAAACAGGTACAAACACCACCTCTTACTAAGGTAAAGTAGCAGGAGTTGGAGTACATTTGGCCGGTCATCCCAGGGGGATGAAGAGGGTGGGAGAGGCGAGCTGCGGAGGTCCCCTCGGTGTCAGCCAGCTTCGGATTACGCTCCGACTCTGTGTGCTCTTGGCTCCTCCCTCCTCCGACCCCACAGGGCCCACCTGATATTCCTGTGCCCACATAGAGCACCAGGACCAGCAATGCCAACAGCGTCTGGGGGCAAGAAGAGGAGGAGATGAGTTCCTGGAGGTAGATGAGCACCCCTGGCTCCCTCACAGAGGGCTAGGAATGGGGATCCACTTTTTCTATTTATCTGAGTCACAGGTGCTTGCTACAAAACCTGCAACACCACAGGGCTAGATAGCAGGGCGACCTGCTGACATTTCATCAGTATTTTCCCTCCTTTGTCCCTGGTGAGAAGGAAGGCTTACCTTTTTTTCCATTATTTGCCTCACTTTTGCCATTTATTTATTTTTGTTTGTTTGTTCTAAATGCTCTTTAGAAAAGTCAACGTTATTGTGGTGTAATTCACATATGATAAAATGCATGTTTTACATGCACCATAATGTCTGTACTCAGTCCATGGGACTGCAAACAATCGGAGCGACTTAGTGGCTGAACTAAATCTGTACTTGTGGGCTTCCTAGGTGGCTCAGACGTAAAGAATCCACTAGCCAATGCAAGAGATACAGATTCGATCCCTGGGTTAGGAAGGTCCTCTGGCGAAGGAAATGGCAACCCACTCCAGTATTCTTGCCTGGAAAATCCCATGAACAGAGGAGCCTGGCAGTCCATGGGGGTTGCAAAGAGCTGGGACATGACTGAACACACACCTACTACTACATACATGTGGAGTATCACCCCAGTGAAGATATAGAACATTTCCATCATCCTAGAAAATTCTTTTATGTGCTTTTGTGGCCAACTTCCTCCTCTCCCGACCCTGAAGCAGGGAATAGCTCATCTGCTCTCTGTCACCCGGTTTGTCTGTCCTGTAACCTCACATCAGTGCAATCACACATCACATTCTTTTTTGTTGAGCTGCTTTTACTCAACATAATGCTTCTGATACATCTGCCTGTTTTGGGGTTTGGGGTTATTGATGAGTAACATTGTAGTGTATGAATATAGAATGTGTGTGTGCGTACAGATACATGTGTGATATGCGTGCTCTCAAATGGATGCCTGTGGTGTGAAGGAGTTTCTTGGTTCTAGCTGGCTCAGAATTCCATCTACCCCCAGCACAAGTGGGTTTCCATATCTCTGCTGTCAGCCCCAGAGCAGCTGCCCCCTGGTAAGCCATGGGTAAGGTAATCCTTTGCGTGCACATCCCGGCCCGCAGCCGAGGAGCATGGCGACCCCCCACCTGGGCCGGGGTGCCGTCAGCACACAGCCCTTCTTTCTCTCCAGGGCCTTGTCCTCCAGAGGCCGGCAGCTCCGCCCGCCGGACTCTGCCGCTCAGCAGGAATGCTGGGCTCTGCATGCCCGCTAGCTCTTGGCGCACCCATTGTGCAGAAAGACTTGACGCAACCATCCTTTTTTTTCCCCTCAGCGATTGTACTTTTGTACTGTCCTTTGCCCTCACCTGAAAATAGTTGCTTTGTATATTTTTGTCAATTTTATGGCTGCTTAGAATGACTGTGAGGGCCAGTTTGGCCCCGGTTACTGTATGAAGGCTGGAAATGAAAGTCTACCCCTTGGGGCTTTGGTGCAGGAATGAAATGGCTTCCCTGAAGACAACGTTGCTCCCTGGCACTTGGGTCAGTCCAAGATAATTTAGGAGATTTTGGTGGGCATGCCAGGATCATGGAGGGAGAAAAGTGAGAGAGCCTTTTGGAGAGGTGGGCGAAGGTGGAAGGGGAGTCTGAGTCGGGGAGGGGCCTGGCACCCTCTCCTGATGGCCTCCTGGTGTGGCTGGGAGGTCTCAGCACAGGATATTTAGAGACTCCTGCTTTCAACAGACAGTGTGAGTTGGGATAGTGACCAAGTGAGGCAAACAGAAGTGGAGAGAGGATTCAGGCAGAGACAGTAGTGACCAACATTTGACTTTTCTCCCAACTCACTAGATGTGGGTTGAATCAGATTTAATTTGACTTGAAATAATACGTTTCTTATGTACCTCAGTTTGTGAAGTAAGATTTAGACTGGCTACCACAAACAAAGAAGATAAAGAGATTTGCATAACTTGTTTCTTTCCTGGATAGTTTTTAAAAATATATATACTAGCAACATTATAATTGCTGTTAACTTTAAAAATAAAAATAAATTTGCATAGTAACAATGTGACCGAATCTCACAGATACACTAGAAGTGAAAAAAGCCAGACATGAAGCGGCACACTGATTCTGCTCCATGAATTCATGAAATTCAGGGACGTGCAAAACTCATTTGTGATTCTAGAACTCCGAACCGTAGTTATGGGGTGTGAGCTGGGAGGGGCCTTGGAGGAGTCTCAGATTGGGAAATGCTCTGTACTTTGATCCGGGTAGGAACTGCCTGGGTGTGGACACCCACTGTGAAATCATTGTAGATTAGGGCACTTTTTTCTTTTCTTAACATATTCCCTGAGACTACCTAAGAACATGTTGTTGTTGTTTACTTGCTAAGTTGTATCTGACTTTTTCGCGACTCCTTGGACTGTAGCCTGCCAAGTTCCTCTGTTCATGAGATTTCCCAGGCAAGAATACTGGAGTCGGTTGCCAGTTCCTTCTCCAGGGGATCTTCTCAATCTAGGGATCAAACTTACGTCTCCTACATTGCAGGTGAATTCCTTACCACTGAGCCACCAAAGAAACCCTATCTAAGAACATAGACTGATTGATTCTTTATAATGGCTGATGGACATTCTCTGGTCTGAACATTCTTCTATGTCTTTAACTATTCCTCTGTCAATGTGCTTTACAGGATGATGTCTTGATCTGCATGCTTGCTGCCAAGTTGCATTTTTGTTTGGTTGTTTTTTGTACTGAGTGACGTCGAAAGCAGGGAAAATGGACTAAAATTAAGTTTTAGTCCTTCTCTTGTGCTGTTGTGGAGTCTGAGCCAAATCATTTCTTCTCTCTGAGCCTCAGTTTATTCATTTGTAAAATGGATTTTTTTTAAACTTTGTTTTTGGACTGCACCACTTAGCATGTGGGATCTGTTCCCCGACCAGGGGTTGAACCCACATCCCCTACAAAAGTCCCTGTAAAATGGAATTTGATATATGCTATAAGGTCTTTCAAGAACGCAAAAGCAGGGCCTCTGTAGTTGAATTGGTTTTGGAAACACTGTGGTAAGGTTACGTGGGTCTCCTTGATGCAGGACTCACCGGAGCCTTCATTATGTGAAGGGGCTGTGTGACGCTTTTGGAGGGCAGTGAGAGTGTCAGCGTGCCCCGGATCACAGAGCTTACATGACTGTTCTAGAAAGAGCATTCCTAAGGTTATTAGAGGAACACTTTTTAGCAAAAACTGCAGCACAGCCGAAGCCCCCCAAGGCCTCCATCTTGCAGTGAGGTCCAGAGTAAAGAAGTCAAAAGGTATATTAAGTATATAAGTGAACAAATCTTTTGAAAACATTTATAGATCAGTTATGTATTGCTCTGCTTAAACCCTGCAATGGCTGCTTAGTAACCTTGGAATAAAATCCTGCCCCTTTCCGCCGTGTGCTGTGCCCAGCTGACCAACCCCGCCGCCTTGTCCGTCTTCCCCTCGCTTCCCCACCTGGCAGGCAGTGCAGTGCAGTGTCACCTTGCTAAGGGTTCTGGAACCAGGTGGACCTGGTTTCAAATCCCACTGTGTCTCTGCCGTCTGGCCCTTCCGGTCTCACTTTACCAATTTGTAAATGAAGTTCATAACGGTTGCCTCTCTGGAATGTCAAGACATGCAAGAGAGAGGAGTAGAGGCACCAGGCTGTGCACCCCAGACTGTGCACACAAGTGCTAACATTTTCCATGTGACAAAGTCCTATGTGAGTTTTGAATTTCAGCTCCAGGACCTCCCCAACTTACGTATATTATCCTGTTTATTTTGGTTCATTTGTTCATTCAGCGCCTGTTATGCACCAAGCACTAACCTAGGCACTCGGAATACAACAGGAAGCTAAACAAGACTCCCGAGTCCTTCTGGGGCATTCCTTCCGCTGGCAGTGGGAGAACTGCTAAGGTGTCAGTAACGGCTTCTAGAAGAAGCTCATGAGTCCCTGTACTGTGTTTTACCAGGTTGGGCTCTAGGGGGAGTCAGGCTGAAAGCCTGTCCCTGACTTCGAGGGCCTCACAGTCTGCCTGGAGCGCCCAAGGGGGCCCAGATGGGAGGAGAGCCATGTCCCCCGGTCTGGCCTCACCTGCTTCCTGTCCTTGCAGCGACTTCCCCTTCTCTCGGCTGCCACCCGGCCCCTGCTGCCCACCTGGGGGACCGCCATGGCCTCAGGTCGGGCTGCCCGAGTAGAAGAGGGTACCCCCATCTCCCTGGCTTCTGGTCACCAAGCATCTCTCAGGCCCTGAGTTCTGATGTCACAGAAGGTGGGGACAGTCAGGCCCCCGTCCTGCACCATCCTGATGGTTAGCCCAGACTTGGTTTTCATATAAATATAAAAACACAGACTGGAAAGAGAAACACACTAAAAGATTATATTTCAGGATGGTGATTTTTCTGATCCTTTTTCTTCTGTGTTTTCAAATCTTTACTAAAATGCAAGTCTTTAAATTCAAAAATGATAAATTTTTTAACTGAAATATTTATTGAGATAACTATAGACTCACATGCAGTTGTAAGAAAGAGTGTAGGAGATCCTGGACACCCTTTACTCAGTTTCCTCTGAGACTGTTCCATCCTCTGATCAGAGTTCCTCTGATAGGCTGTTGCCATGGATACAATCTACCAATCTTATTAGTCTCCCCAGTTTCGTTGTATTCATTTATGTGTGTATTTAAATTCTAGATAATTCTGTCACATGGCTATATTTGTGCATCCACCACTATAGTCACCACCATACAGAAGGATTTCCAAACTATAGGGTCCTATGCTGCCCTTTGATGCATACCTCCTCCTATGCCCCTTTCTCTCACTGTCTCTATGACTGGCAACCACTGATCTGTTTTCTGTTTCTAATTTTTTTTTGCCTGTGGATGTCCATTTGCTCCAGCATCATTTTTGAAAAATGCTTTCATTTCTCTTTTGAATTTCTTTTGCATCTTTGTCAAAAATAAATTGTGCATATTTGAGTGGGTCTATTTCTTGTTTTCTGCTTCATCCCACTGACCTATGTATTGATCCCCATACCAACACCAACTGTCCTGATTATAGCTATACAGTAAGCCTTAATATTGAGTAGAGTGATTTCTCCACTCTGTTCTTTGTCAAGATCATTTTCAGCACTTCTGTGGCCTGAGCCTTTCCATATAAACTTTAGAATAAGACGTCTGTCTTAAAAAAAAAAAAAACTTACTAGCTGCCATTTTGACAGGAATTGCATTAAAGCTACAGATCTCTTGGGGGAGAACTGCCATCTTTACTATGTTGTATCTTCCAATCTATGGACATGGTATGCCTCACCACTGATTTAGGCCGATCAGCATTTTATAAGTTTTAGCATACAGGTCCTATACATATTTTAAGTGTATATTTAAATATTTCATTTTGGATTCCCTTCATATTTTTAAAAACCTCCATTTACCAAAGAAATGCCATGTGTTAAGACATCATTAATTGTCAACATTTTGATTATCTAACTTTCCCAAAGTGACACATACAAAGTTTCTGATTAGCACCCAGATAACTTTTATTCATTGAGCATCTACTGTATGCTAGGTATTTCATTAACTTTATTTTATTACTTCTTCTCCAGGCTATAATTCTGTAGGTATTGGGGATTAAGTCTGTTTTATTAGCCATTGTTATCTCTAAATCCCATCATGCAGCCTGTTACATACTACATGTTCAGTAAAAATATCTGTTGAATGGATGAAAAATGAGCAACTTCAAACTGTGGCTTCTGAGAGGCCCTGAGCTATGTCTGGTGAAGTATTCATAGTGCTTGGGTCAGAAAATACTTGTTGAATGAGAAAAGCAGGTGGTATGATTTTAATTTCACCAGTGAAGAAGCTGAGGCCCAGGGCAGCCAAGGAAGGATATTAGCTGTAGTAGGTGTCGACTCTGTTCCAGAGCCCATGCTAAGTGCTGTCCATACATTATCTCATCTCATCCTCATAACTGCCCTGCAAGATGGGTGCCAGCAGCCTGTCTGGACAGCACTCTCCATAGTCAAGTTCCTGCACTCTGCTAGGAGTCTGAGTGCAGGTCTGTTTAACTCTGAAGTCTTTTAGTTTATCTCAAAGTGTTAATGTCATTTCAGCTAAAAGCAAAGAAAGTTGCCATTCTTGTTACCCTTTGTGGTTTTATTGTGGGTGAGCAGATGTGGGAGTCCCATGAAATTGTTTGAAATATCGAAAGTAGCTATATTCCTTCTTACTTCTTCAACTCCATGACCGTCCCAGTTTGGCATCCAGAAATGTCAAACAATCTCTACCCCTGCTTCTTCCGCCTTCTTCAGCATATTCTTCTTCTTATCATCCATAATTAAGCTGAGTCAAGAAATTACTGAGTTCAGGACTCTATGTGAAATGCTTCATATGTATTGACTCATTGTATTGCTGTTTCAACTCTGGATGGTAAATAATATTATTATCCCCATTTTACAGATGAGGAGACTAAGACTCACAGTGGTTAAGTCAACTTTCTCAAAGTTACACAGTTAGTGAGAAGCAGGGCTGAGATCTGAACTCTGAGGAGCTGATTCCAGCTTCCCGAGTTATGAGTGCCAAGAGATACTGCCCTTTCCATGGGAAAACTCAAGACGAAAGAAGAAGAAAAGGGTCTACCTAAGCCAATTGGAAAAAAAGAACCAGATCTCAAACCTCTTGCTCCCACTTGGGAACTCTTGACAAGGCCACCTGTGTCATCTCCATGGTCTTGCTCATGGGCAGCTACTGGCCTCTGGGGTTTTACCTCCAGGAAATGTTTCAAATATAATAAGCAGATGCTCAAGTACTGCCCATTAAACTAATTATGGCATATTGAATGTAATGAATTACATTCATGTTAAGAGAAGGCAACCGGAAACATTTTCCTAGAAACCCAGTGAATTCTTCCAGGAAACTGCTCTGAAGAGCAGTGATGAGTTGGGGAACTTCTGGGATTAGTTCTGAGGGTCATTTTCTGCGGCAGGGCAGAGAGGAAAGCCAGGCATCTCTCCCGGCCCTCAGTGCGCATGCCCAGAAGCAGGTTGTGCAGGAGGCTCGGGCAGGGTGGGTGCTGGGCGAGGTGTCTCCCAATCTCCCCCGCCAGCCAGCGCTGGGTTACCCAGTGCAGGAAGAGGGAGGGGATGAGAAAAGAGGGAGGGACCGCGGACTGGGGAATTAGGCTTCCTGAGTGAATGTGGGAATGAATGGGGGGAAGGAGGGGGATATGAATGGAAAAATTGTAGGTGAAAAAAAGAGTTCCAGGCAAATCCATAATGGAAAAATTACACTGTATGAAGCAAGCAGTCTGCCCCGTGTGCACAGGCGGAGACCAAGCAGTGCTCTGTACTGTCTCGCAAGCGTCTGAGTTCAAATCCTGGGGTCACGGTGTCTCTGAGTCTCAGCTGTCTGAAAAACGAGACCAGTACTAATGTACGTCTTGGGGGGTTACTGAGAGGACCAGCTGGGATGACCTGACCCAATGGCGTCTGGTTCAAAGAAGGAACCCGGTTAGTCCCCCTCACGCCCTCTCTCCTCCCCGCTCCTTTGCCCTCGCCCTTTTCTTCCTTACTTCTCCAGTGTTTACTGAGTTAGCTTCTGTGCTAACTCAGTGAAAGTCTCCCCTAGTAGTTTCAGAAGGCAAAGACTTCCTATGAAAAATCTGTCCAGAAAACTGATCCACATGGTCTAATAGGCAAGCGTGGATGGCAGTGGGAGGGACCTAACGGGCTGTGGAGAAGAATGACAGGATGGCTCCATAAAGGAGGAGGCCGTTTTGGCTAGCTGGAAGGTAGAAGAAACTGGATCTTGGGAAGAATCATGGGCAAAGACCTCCCAACCTGGGTCTTCCACTGGAACCCCCCCAGTCTGAGCCTGGGTCTGACTTGTTTGTGTAACAAGGCTTACAAACTCGGAGGCATAGAGGCACTGTACAATGAATAAAATGAGAGGAGTGGGCCGGGTGTACAATGAACAGGCTTGGTGGGGACTGTGGCAAGTTATAACATGCATGCCTAGAAGGCCCGGCTTCCCGGCTGTAATCTGCCCGCAGTGCAGGAGACCCGCGTCCAGTCCCTGGGTTGGAAAGATCTCCTGGAGGAGGAAATGGCTACCCACTCCAGTATTCTTGCCTGGAGAATCCCATGGATAGAGGAACCTGGTGGGCTCCAGTCCATGGGGTTGCAAAGAGTCGGACACAACTTAGTGAGTAAACAACAACAGCGTCTAGAAGGACCAGCGCCAGGGCTCTGTACGATCCAGTGTTGCAAGATCTTCTGTTTCTTTGTTTTTTAAGAGAAGCTGGAAATTTAGTCCTTCATGTGATATCTCCTGACTCATAAATATTGGTAACAAATTCAACTTTAGGGGGAAAAGCACTGAATGGGTGAAACACAGGCCACTGGTTTATGGACCCTGACTTATTGTGTGTCTGCTCTGTAACAGTCATTCTGCTGGGTCCAAACGTGGCTTGTCCCTGATTTTCATGACAGCCTTTCTGTTCAGGGTTCTTACCTGTGAAGGCAGGCAATAGAAGACTTTACTGCTCACTAAATTTAGAAAAGGTAAGTTTGGCAGGGAGGACCAAAGGGAGCTCCTGGAATAATAGATGGAGAGGCTGGAGATTCGGGGACAGGAGTAGGCATTGGAGCCACAGGCCAGGGCATGTCACAGGAACAGTCTGAACCCAGAACAGTATGGGGCAAATGTTGGATCCCAAAGCCATGAAAGAATTCAAAATTCTCTTGGTGTCTACATTAGTTACCTATGTCTTCTGTAACAAATTGCCACAAACTAGGTGGCTAAAGCAACAGAAATTAAGTTTCTCACAGTTCTGGAGACCAAAAGTCCAAAGTTCATATCTCTGGGCTGAAATCGAGGCATCAGGCTGGCTGCATGCCCTCTGGAGGCCCTGGAGGAGAATCCCTTCCTTGTCTCTTCCAGCTTGTGGCGGCTGCCAGCATTCCTTGGCTGGTATCTGCATCACTCCAGTCTCTGCTTCCACGGTCACATTGCTTCCTCTTCTGTGTGTGTGAAATCTTCCTCTTGTAAGGATACATGGATTGCATGGGAGCTCACCCAGATAATCCAGGATAATCTCATTATCTCAAAGTCCTGAATTTAATGACATCTGCAGTGTCCTTTTCTACAGTATAAAGTAACAGTCACATATCCCAGGAATTAGGACATGGATTTCTTTGGGGAACTTATTCCAGCCCACTGCAGTGTCTGGGACATTCCCTAAAGATTCAAAGCTCTAGGCTGGGCCTTGTCACAGGCCTGGCCCCTGGCTACCAAGAGGTGGGGAGGAGGGTCTGGCCTTCTGTTGCTTCTGCAGTGAGGGACAGGGCTGTGTTCTGCCCCCACTCCTGCCCAGGCTCACGCGTGGGGGATCCTTTCAAGGAAACGAGGGATTGGGATGCTCGCTGCTCCCATCTGCTCTGAGATGGAGACCTAGCTTGGATGGACTGGGGTGCACCTGAGTTATCAGCACCGTGAGGGCAGGGATCTCCATGTCATCCTCTGCAGGAACCCCAGAACTTGGTCTAATGCCTGGCACCCAGTAGGAGCTCCGTACTTGCTCACAGCTTGATGCCTCCAGATTTGTGTCTCTCTCGGCTCCTGTTGCCGCAGCAAGTGGCACCTGGGATCCCAGACGAGTAAGGGGACAACAGTATACATTTACTCACAGCTTTGGCATACGCTTGCTTGCTGGGGATGTCAGCCACACCAAAAATACCCCTCTGCATGCCCCATTAACCAGAGGGCTAGAAGAACTGTGAACAGTGGACCAAAAAGGAAAAAAAGCGGGATTAATTTATGAGGCGTTCTGCTGCCTGGATGGCTCATTGCATACCCGTTTTGGCAACGTTGCTCTGTAATGTGCTCCTAGACTTACTGTACTTCGACATCCAGGGGCTCTTTTGTAATATGCCAAATATTCCGCCGTTATTGTTCTAGGCACCTCCTGTTGGTCATTGGGCTAATTTATTTCAGTCGGAATTTCAGGACCAGACACAACTCTTATTACTCACTGCTTCGAAGAGGGAATAAAAGAGCAATTGATATTTGGAAAAATGAAAAATATGTCCAGAAGACGTTGGGCCCTGAGTCCAAGAAGAAAAAAAAAAGTGGGGGGGGGAAGCTGGAGGAAAAACTAAGGCAGGCTCACCTCGTAATGCACTCTGTCGTGGCCTGTCTGGGAGACGTGGAGTCTAGATAATGTCTGCAGACAAATGAATTAAGGACAGGGCTCTGAAAATTGCTCAGACACCTGGGTCCTTCCGCACATGACTTCAGCTGCCACCTGCAGGAGCAGAGCTGGGACAGATCCCAGTGTGGAGGGCACACCTCCATTAGTTGTGTGTTAAATTGGGGCTTGGGTTGGAGGATGAGGGAGAAATTCTGGGGTGGGGGTGTTAAATTCCTAAGGCTTCATGCTCCAGAGTCCACAGAAATGGACCTAGGAATAGAATTCTGAGATGTGACAGCTCAGCCACTCGTTTCAGGAGCAGCAGTAGGATGCTGGATATAAGAAGGGCCCTGGGGACAGGTGTAGAGATGATCTAGAGGCATCCCCGAACCCTGTAAGTGGTCTTTCTAGGGCCAGAAGGGTGAGCATCTCCTTTGCCACAAGAGATGCCATTGGGTGTCAGTGTAAAATCTGTGACTTCGCTCTTCCTGGAAGTCCTGGTTGAACCTGGGGTTTTGGCAGACAGAGGGGCTTCTTCGGAGGCAGGAAAGAGGAGGATGGATTTAGCTCTGCTCTAGCCAAAAAAAGTTGCCTAGGATGATGACCGTATGTGACCATGAGTGTGACCGTATGTGACTGTATGTGACTACGCTTCCCTTGGGCTTCCCTTAAAGAAGCTGTGATGGGGAAGTGGTTAGGGTCCCAGGCTTTAGAGCCAAGGGGTCCTGAGAATAGATCTTACCTTCGTCATTCACGCACTGGGAGACCTTGGGCTGTACACTCAACCTTGTAGGCCTCAGTGTCCTCATCTGTTAAGTGGGGACAAAAATAACTGCCTCACAGTTTTCTTGAAAGGAACATAAGATAATCCTTGTGAAATTCTTCTTTCAAAAAGATTTTCTGATGTGGACCATTTTTAAAGTCTTTACTGAATTTGTTACAGCATTGCTTCTGTTTTATGTTTTGGCTTTTGGCCCTGAGGCATGTGGGATCTTAATTCCCTGACCAGGCATCACTGAGCTCACACCCCCTGCACTGGAAGGCGAAGTCTTACTCACGGACCACCAGGGAAGTCCCTGAAACTCTCCATCCTTGGTGATTATGGTAATTGCTCCCTTTGGTTGCAGGTTTACTATCAGTTGTCGAATTAAGCCCTTTGCGTTCACTCTCTGTTTTTTCTTTTTTTCGCTAAGTCACGTCAGTCTCTTTTGAAACCCATGGACTGTAGCCTGCCAGACTCCTCTGTCCATGGGATTTTCCAGGCAAGAATATTGGAGTGGGTTGCTATTTCCTTCTCCAGGGGATCTTCCCAATCCGGGTATTGAACCCATGTCTCCTGCACTGGCAGGAGGATTCTTTACCTCTGAGCCACCTGGGAAGCCCACTCTCTGTTTTACAGATTGGTCAACTGAGACTGCGGAGAAGGCCATGGCAACCCACTCCAGTGTTCTTGCCTGGAAAATCCCAGGGACGGGGGAGCCTGGTGGGGTGCCATCTACGGGGTCTCACAGCATCGGACACGACTGAAGCGACTTAGCAGCAGCAATTGAGACTGAGGGAGATTAAGAGGCTCACCCAAGGTCCCACAAATAGGATATGAGTTATGGCCTATTTACCTTCAGAGCCCGAGTTCTTAACATCTACTGTCTTATATGAAGATTAGGGTCTTAAACAGAATCACTTATGGCAAAATCGTATGTTTTAAACTAAGAAGAGACATGTCTGTTGGAGAGTCCAGTGCAGTCTCCTTTCCCTATGGTGATGGGAAAGACTGCTGTGTCTCATTCAAGCACAAGTCGAAATTGTTACAGGAACATATGGGGCTCAAAGAGCCTTTCAAACAGTACAGTTAGCCTCCCAGGGACAGTCCCAAGTGCTCTATAGGGAGGGCAACACTATTTGGGTGTGTTCGGGGTGTGTTCTTCCCTTCTCTGACTGTGCATATTTGAATCTGAGTGAGGTAGATGGCCAAGGGTACATGAATGCGAAGACCCAGTAAGGATGCCCCAGATACACAGCACTCCTGGCACACAGCATCTGTCGGATGAGTGTGGCCGAGGATGAGTGTCCGGAGTTGGCGATCAGCCCTCTGAACCGCGCCTCGGGTGGAAACGGCTTCAAGATGAGACCAAAACATCCATCTGGGATGTTTGTGGGCAGAGTGCTGCCCCAGTTCAGGCTGCCCTCACCCCTGAACCCACGGCCCCAGTGGCCCCTCCCCAGGGGGTGCTTGAGGAGAGCTGGGGGCACTCCTGGGAGACCCACCCCAGACCTGTGGGTTGGGGTTCTCAGGCTAAGTTAATAAAAACAGAGTGACCATGTAGACAGGGCCCCAAACGAGGCTCCTGCAGACCTGGAGTCAGTTTCTTTTTAAGATGTTTTGGGTTTTTGGCAATTATGACTAGAGGGATCATTGACACAATAGTTGCATGTCAGGTTGTGCTTTTATAAGGAATACCATGAAACTCTTTTCTGTGTCCAAGACAGTTCCTGCGCTTTGGGGATGGGCATTGCAACCCAGTTCAGAGGAGCCTTTGATGGGGTTGGATGGTGGGGCTGGGCAGGGTAAGGACGTTGTGTCATGGGCCTATGTGAGATGAACCCACAAGAACCTTGAAGGGTGTGGAGATCCTGGAATCCAGGACACACTCCATGGAGCAGGTCCTGTAGGCGTGGGTGGAGCAGGTGGAAGGTGAGCTGTGGAGCCAGGAGACCCATTTTCCCATCTTTGCTCCAGAAGATTACTCTCTGGGTAACCCTTGTGGGATCGTCACTTTTCTGTGCTGCCTCGGTTTCCTCATCTGTAAAATGGGAGTATCATTTCTTCCACAGGACCATTGTGTGAAGGTAGGGGTAAGCGTAGGCTCTCTAAATGGAGTGAACTAGGACCAAGAGTGTCAGGTCTGTATATGCCCTCTGTCCCTGCTCTTGGTAACAATAGCAACGACAACAGCCATTGTGATTGGATCACAAGGGGCTAATACAACCAAGCTCTTGATTGTGCAGAATCTAATGAGCTTGATCTCACTTGATCCTCCCAATCACTCTCCGAATAGACTTCACTTTTCTTATTTTGCAGATGAGGAATCAGACACCCAGTCCATAACCACCCAGCTGCACCACCTCCCAAGAAGTGTCCACACAGTAAATACCCAAATAAGCCAGTCTAAATTCCACGCTCTATTCGAGGTCTGGCATGAGCCCCACTTTCTTGGTCAAACCCTCAAACCACAGTGATCTCCCTACTCATCTGGCCTGCAGACAGATGTTTAAATTTTAAAAAGCTTGTCAATATTAAAAACTTAGAAGCCTGTGCATTCAAATCCAGATTTCTGTCTTTTCTTGAAGAATGAGCAGTCTGGCCATACCGACCCACGTCCCTGAGAGATGACACTTCCCTGGTGCTGGCACCTGCCTTCAGGTGGGACCTGGACCCTTCTGCTGTCACCAGGCGTGGCAGGCTACCTGCCTGGCCCTGAAGGCATGTGGCTTGGTGCATCTGACTCTCTCTTGAGTTGTCTAATTGAATTAGTAGCAAAGACTTCGTATGCACTTTTTGGTCAACCTCTTGTTGGCATCAGCTCCAAGGGGAGAGACTTCTTCTCCATCTTTAGAATCCCTGGTGTCTGGGCTCTTATACCAGCCCCATGACTTATGAGTCTGTTAATTGGATTAATGAAAGCAGGTGAAAGCTCTCTTTTCTTCGAAGACCCCAGATGGAGGTCTCGGAAGGGACTCAATGGCCTCACCGAGGCTGCACATCTCCCATCACTCTCCTGGAATCGTGGGCTGGTGGATTTCAAATCCATTCTTATGAAGCACCTACGGCATACCAAGCATGGTGGAAGGAATCACGCAAATGTCTTCTCCCTGAGCCCCCACCATCTCTCCGAGACTGAGGGCAATGTCCCCGTTTTACAGAAGAGGAAAGTCACACTCAGGAGCGGTCAGGAGGCCCACTGAAGCCGGAGTGGCTTGCTGGCGGTGGAGTCCGGATTCGCACCTAGGTCTGTTTACTCCCACGTCTGACTCTTTCCATACACACCCTGGGCCCGCTCTCTATTGCCAGGCCCCCTCTCTGCCAAAGAGAAGACCTTTGCGATGTTTTGTGTCCTTGAAGGCAAACCAAAAGAATTCCCTACAATTCACTGCTGGCATTTCAAGTATTGCTTTATGGGTTTTTTGGTGAGAATGCATCCAGGGGCCTATCACCCTTAGTGAAATAGATACTTTTCCAATCAAAGAGTCAAACCAGAACTTGGCTTCTTAGAAAACCACTTGTCTGGAATGCCTGCCAGCAACCAGACGGTCCCACAGTTCAG